AAGTCGCACCCACCACGCAAGAATCTTACGGGGCAAGCAGATTTTGCAAGAGCGGGAGAGAGAGCTGGCATTGGAGGCTAAGCGTCGGGCAGGTGAGTAAAAATCCACGAGGGCCAAGGTACTGCGTCTAAACGGTGGTTATTTAGACCTCAGTGTGCAACAGGCGCTGGATGAACAGTACCATTGGGAAGATGTGCCCATGGGATTAGACGACGACATCCTCACGGGGGACGCTCAGCTAGATATGAGCCACGCGGGTGAGGGAATGGGCAACACGGAAGAGGTGGAAGATGTCGAGGAGATGGACGCGTTTTTGGAGGATCTTCGAGCACAGCTAAGGTAAATGGGCCAGCTTTTGACTTTGAGTGCCGTCTTCTAACTATATTTTACAGGAAACAGCAGAATAATCCTCCCCGCAACCGCTCCAACCGCACACAAACCCTCTTCGACGCTTTCAACAGAGAACGCGAAGGGATGACGGACATGTACATGGAGTGGGCAGCAGAGATGGGCGGTGATCTACTGTCCCGGCTCTTCGAGCTACCAGACGACGTCGAAGCGGTAGACACGTTGCCGAACGTGCAAATCGTGGATCTATTCGGTGTGTACGCAACATCTAGCCCTTCGTGTCATCCCATATCCTCTCCAGATGCAATGCAGAGGGACATTCTGATGGTTGAAGCACACGGGACATTCGTGACCAACTGTCTATGACAGGGTCTGGTCCCTTGCGCGACAAGGAAAATTCAGCTCGTCTTCACCATCCGGACCCTCGAGGCCTTTCGTCGAGTCACGCTTCGTTGCCCTCGTCTTGGAGTTCAGGCGTTTTGCAGGTCCCTTTGCGACCTCTACGGGGTCGCTCCCCGGCCATATCTTGCACGCCAATTTCGCGTGGCCTTGGACGTTTACCTGGATATACGAAACAACGTCAACACACGGGTGAGGACCGTTCTCGGCCGCAATACCGCCAACTGGCGACTTATGAATTCCTGCCCCGCCTGTTGCTACAAGTTAGAAGATGAAGTCGAACTCGACATTCCCATGTTAGTGACCATCGATGGCAACAACTCCCTCAAGCAGTTCTTACGGTCGACCAAGGTCTACGACGAGAATGGGAACGTGTCAGCTGGGAAGTCGAGAGAATGGACGGATAGCCGCCAGGTTGCAGGCGACTACTTCATCCCAAGGGAGGAAGTGGACAGATGGGCGAAGGAGGTGATTGGGGAGCTGATGGAACATTACCCCACCGACCAAGACAACACGCCAGTCGAGGAGGAGGACGATTGTGAAGAAGAGAAATGGAAGAATATGCAACAAGACGTTACCGCCCGTGCGATCGGGATGTACGACGAGACGGGTATTCTGCCAGCCCTGTGCAGACATGGGTTCATGCAGGTGGTGGCCAATATGGTGAAGAGCGGAGAAATGTGAGCATTTTGGTATTGTTTCTTTATTATTCCCCCACTGACGACAATGACAGGTAACGTGATCAATTTCTTTGAGTTCCTCAACTGATTGACGTCAACAGGTATAAGTACGGCTTCGCCGTCGTCAATCATCTCATCCGGGTCCTCGGCCCCCTTGGCCTAGGATACGATGTCGGATGCACCTTTGGCAAGGCAGTCCGCCAACATCCGGTGCTTGGACCCCTCTCCCGTCGCCACCGGTTCCAGTGCCTTGTCGGCGCTTTCCACGGGCCGGGTCACTCCCGACGATGTCAAGTCAAGCATCTACCCCGGTATAGAAAAGGACTGGGCCTGACGACTCTGGAGAACTGCGAAAACTGGTTTTCCAAGTCCAATGCGTTGGCAGTAACAACGCGGTATGCGTCCGCGGTTCCATCGGGAACAGGCGATTGTGGGGTATATAGAGCATGCGGATGCAGCAGACGCGTATGCTGGGCTATGTAAGTCCCTTGCCTTCTCTCATTTCCCGCTAACACTTTGATCAGCGAATCTGTTAATGGCAAAGTATCAAGAGGCGTTGCGGATCAAGCAAACGGAGCCTGCTCTGTTGACCGCATTGAAGAACATGGGTGTCTCGGACAAGGCTGTGGTGGAAGATTGGCTGAAGGAGGAGCAAGAGTTTCTGAAAAGCTTGAAGAAGGAGCCCGAGGAGGAAACGCTGCAAATGGAGTATTACCAGGCATTGGTAACATACTTTGACTCAAAGTATGCTTCTTATAACCCACTCGTTTGGTTGCTAACCCAATTTGAAGGCGCCAAATGGAGGAGCTTCGACAGAGCCTTCCTGTCTTCATTGACCATCAAGAGTATAGTAAAGACGCGTCCGAAACACGACGTCGAGAAACGCAACGGCGGCACGTTGAAGAGAAGTATCAAAAGTCGCTTGAACGCGTGCAAACAATGGAGCGCCGACTGCAAATCGATCGATGGGTCCCTGGGGGGAAGGAATGGGAGGATGCAGCCCGATTGGTGAGGCATCGAAAGTACAATCGGGCCTTGGATGAGCTGGAGTCACTGGTGATCTCGCGGATGTTCGAGCTGAACAAATGCCATATGTCTGGCACTGGTCCGTGGTCTCTAACACATCAAACGGTTTACTAACTCGTCTACAGCCTACAAACTTCGACAGCATATAGTCAAGGCCATACAATCAAGGTCCAAGGCCGTTCGATCAGCCTTAGAACGATACAATGCCGCCGCCGCCGCAGTGGTCCCCCCGAAACGACAACTTTCCTTCGACGAGGTCGTCAAATACGCCTTCGTCACCGACTTTGACCTCCTACGAGAAGGACGAGAAGATATATCCCAGAAGCTATGGGCGCAACCGGCTGGACGGGCGGCCCTCGACATGTACTTCAAGCTGCTCCGGGCGGACGAAGAAATCGAGCGGCTCAACATCGAGATCCGCCGATTCGTCACTCACATGGCTGACGAGGAGCGATTTATTGCGTATCATCAGAGACGGCTGGAAGAGGAGGGGAACAAGGGACTGGCCCTCCAGGTTGGGTTGTATGGGAATGAACGAAGCCGGTTCAATCACCTGCATCACATTCAGCTCATAAAGCTCAACCGACTCCGTGGGTTCACAGGCTCTATTCTACCGGGACGCAGCATCAGCACCGACCTTAATGTCCCCCATGACGACGTTGATGAACCGGCGGCAGTGAGGGTATCGGAGGAAGAACATATAGACGACGAAGAGCAGGAGGGGGAAAGTGATGAAGAAGACACGCTGGTAGAAGCATTCGAAGGGATAATGAGAGTGGCAGAGGACGAGTAATATGGACGGGAACTACATATAACAGACCCCGTCTTGCCTTTTTTTTTTACAAGTAATAAAGTTCCTTAACTGAGCTATTCTCCAAGACGGGCCTGTGGGCCGGCCGTTGATGCGGGAGATTGATGCGGCCAGCTGGCCGGACAGCACGTCACCCTGTGATAGATGGCTGATTGTCCGGTTGATCAGGACCGGATACGGTAACCGGAGCTATTGCTCCGTGTATTTATTGCGTGCTGGACATATTACAATAACGGCGCTAATTAACGGTGGCCACGCCCCCCTTGTCCACCGTTTATATAGGGTGGGGTTGGGGATCCTTAGGTGATGCAGAACAGTCCCATAATAGCTGTCAATCCAAATCATGGCATCTGGTATGTTTTTAATACACAGGGCTTTAAATATTTCCAGGTGACCAAACAAGGCAGCAAAAATGATTGCTGTATCTGGACTGCTTACATGATTCAAAATGAAGTCTGATAAGTCCAGTAGCTGTCCAGATAAAGTGACTGAAAGTGCTGTCAACTTAGTTTTTGCATGCCACAACTGCTGCCATTGCTCATACCAAGGATGATCCCAGGGCCAACTCTCAGGTTGATATATATCATAAGAGATAATATGCTCTATACACATGAGCAACTCAGATCTGAGTATCATTTCTGCGGGACCTTTTGCATGGAAAAGGATATTCTGACTATAATCAAAGAGAGGATAGTCATGGCTCTCAGGATGCCTATCTGACACAAGTGATAGATAGATGCAGAGAATGTGTGTAATCTTCACATGCATTTGTGAGAACTCAGTATCTCTGATCTTCTCAAGAAAGCCCTGTGTGGTATAGTGCACCAAACGTATAACCCCTGAGTTGTCTCTGGTTATAAGACCACAACAAATCCTGATAATATGTTCAATTTTCATTAATTCATCTGCACCAGGCAATACAGTCCTTGTTGTTGTCATAGCCAGGGCTGTCTGAAGTTCCCTTGCTTTCAGAGGACGTTTGGCATGTGAAATCCATCCCAGGGCAAGCATTGCAACCTCTATGTGATTGACTGGTTGTAGCTTGATATACTCAATGGTCCTGTGATATCCAATGTCTAAGTCCTGAGGTAGATTATCCAGATCTTCCTCCAGTGCACTTACTGTCAGAGCTGTACTCAAAAGTTGTAGGTGGAGTGGTACCATGAGAAACCTGAATACTTGTGAGCTTGATCATTTAGAGTATAAAATCCCACTTGCATGCCATTGGCCTTGGCAATTATTCTACTAACAACCTGCTCCTTGAGAGCCATATCATGTGATATCAGGTCTTGCAGTATTTGCTGCTGATCAATCTGTTCTCTGATATATGATTTCATATCTCCTTCCTGAGCCTCTATTTTCAATTCTGTGATGGAATAGTGGGAGGGCAGAGCTAGATGAGGCCTGGACATTATTATCAAGTTCATATTTTCACCCAACTGAATAAGCCTTTGAAGGAGCCTGCTGTATTCACCATGTTGATACTCATCCAGTGCATCTAGTACAACATACACTACTGGGAAATCAGCAATCACAGAGGAGACAAGCTGCTGTATCTCTGGTAGACTGGGATGTGTGCCCTTTTTCATATGGTGGGCATAGAGACTCTTTGCCTGTGAGATATCCTTATTGATTGTCAGCTGTCTCCACACAGCTGCCAGAAGGTTCCAGTCAGTTTGAAGGGCTGCCTCCTTATAGTTCAGATAGACTGCAGCGACTCCAATTATGGAATCCTCTTATTGAATCTGGAGAAGATAGTCTACTGCTTTGGATCTAAAGTAACAATCAGAATATATAGATAGATGCAGATTATACTTCACGCTAGCACTGTTTTGCCCATACCAGCTGGTTTTTAGATGTGAACTGTGTGTCAATATAATAGGTTGTACCAACTTACGTATCCCTGTACACCAGAGTCTGCTTCCTGGGGTTGACTTCCATTTCAAGAAATCTGGGTGCTCCAAAAGCCAGTCACCAGTGTTGTCTTGCCGAGTCTCAGCAATAGCCTGATGCCGAGGAAAGAAGTTAATTGGTGAGATCCACTGTGTCACTGTCATATTTTCTTCAACTGTAACAGATTTAGCATTTAGGTACAGTGTGTATTGGACTTACAGTCTGTGCTTGCTGCACTATAGATTCTATAGATTTGGCATGAGAGCGATATGTAGTGCATGTGCAATCAGCATACCTAGTGTAATCTCCAGTCACCTGGATTTGGGGACCATCTCCACGGCCTCCATGCCCACCACCAGGACCTCCATTTCCACCTTGACCACCTGAAACAGTGAGTTTTGGATGTTCCACTGAACATACGGGACCCTACCGCTAATATACACAACAGACATTGTAAGCTGGGGGGGGATGATTGTGGTCAAGAGCAAGATGCACTCGTCGTGCGACTGACTCCCACGCCGACCATGAGGGGACCATGAGGGCGTGTGCTTCCATTTGATGGATCATGGAAGCAGGCGAAGGTGCTGTTGCTGCGGCGGTTCGGCTATTTGATGAGTGTCCGAAACTAATCTGCCACGTTGTGGTAGTGCACAAAACGTTGACGACTCGTCAACTTGAACGTCCGGAGTGTCAAAAGTAAATTACATCTTCGTCCCGGGCCTTCGTCCAGCACGCCATTCCCACGTGCCTCTTGTCTCCGACGACGACTAAGGGGCACGTGCATTCAGTTACTTACTTCTTTTCTGGAGTATATATTTACTGTACTTGTAGCTTGCGCACATCGCGCTATTTTGGCTTCTGACACGGAGCTCAGTATGATCGCGATTCGCAGCGCATCCGAAGACCAGACAAATCCATATCATCCAAGAATGAGAAGTCGATGCCAGAGAAATCGAAATCTGTGTTCTAATTCGATGTAATCCAGGAAGGAATCAACAAATGACTGGGGCCAGTCGGGTCGATAACAGATTCTGTGCACGGGTAAGCATAGATGCAACTATTTCTCTTCAACACACCTTCACCTTCCCTATTGGCCTTCGAGTTTCCATTCCAGGCCGACGACCGTTGATTTGCACCCCCTTGAGAGGACCTGCACGAAGCTCGAGAAGCGCCGCCGCGGCGTCAATCTCCTTAGTCGCAGCGCGCTTTCCGAGTCTTCTCTGAGACTCTGCTGCGATCTCTCCTCGCAAAACTTTCAACCCCTCCTTCAAGTCCTCTCGCCGCTTATCGCTTCGAATGTCATCTTGGAGTTGGAGACGTTCGACATCTTGCTGCACCTGTCGCCCACGCGCAAGAGAGAGCTTTGCATCCTCCTGGCCCTCGCTTTGCAGTTCGCTCTACCGCTCTACCGACAGGTCGTCATAGCGGGCGAGCTGCTCATGTCGGTCATGCGCCGCGTGCGCGGACCGTTGTTGCCGCTGCGCTGATAGCTTTTCGCGGGCGTGGATTAAGACGATAATGCGCACTCTCGATGGCTGTACATGTCTAGCTTCCTGGCCCCGGAGGCTGGAGCGCGCTGCGCGTACATTAGAGAGCTGGAGGGGAAGCAATTAGGAACATACCGCGGCCCTCCGGGGCCCGAGCAGCGTAGGCGACAGTGTGGCGTGTACAAAACGCCGACCGTGCCAGGTGGCCTTGATTGCGAGAACCAAACTTTCAAAGGGTACGCCGTGTGGTGGCCTGGTACGACCGAAAGCTCCCACTGTCCGACCTGCAGGAGTCTAAGCAGTGGAGTTGAATCGGCATCACGGCCGTAGCAATGCGAAATACGAGAAGGAGGCGTGCAGTCGGTGCAGGGCAGATAGATTTCGCCGTCTACCGCCGCCCACCCTGCCGCGAACCTACCCTTACCCGCCGCCGCTGCTCCGCGTCACTGCCCTCGTTGACCCGCTGCCGCAGCGTGCAGCCCCGGACCCAGTATGTTGTCGGCCAGCCAAGGCGAGGTGGTGCTAGGACACTGGCACACTCTGCGAAGGAAGGCTGTGGGAGAGCGAGCCGGCAGCACTTCTTTGCTTTTGGCCACGAGAGAAAGCTCCCACCGTCCGACCTGCCAGTGCGAGACCAAGCAGCGGAGAATCGGCGTCGGAGCAATGCGAAATACAAGCAGGAGACGTGCGGTCGGTGCACGATCGGCCGGGCCGTGGGCCGATCGTGCGCCGGAAGAGCAGACGCGTGTCAGAAGCAGGGGTGAGCCCTTGTGCGAAGGCACGCGACGAAAATCTCCTCCAGAATGTCTTGCGGAAGGCGGCGAGCCACGGGCATGCCCATTGCCTCGACGTAGGTTTCAAGCTCCTCGCGGCGCTCCAAGAGCCTGAGGACCGCCAACTGTTTGTTACCGTCGATGGAAACCATTTCGAGGAGAGGCGGGGCTAGTTGTCTTTGGATCTGTCGGATTTCACTGCGCCACTCGGTACGCACGTAGCTGGTGTGCAGCTTCGCAGCACTGAGCAAAGACTCCATGGGAGAAGAAGAAAAGACGTACGTATGACTAATAAGCCGGTTACCCGGCCAGGGGCAGCGACCAAGCACGACAGCGTGTGAGCGCGATCATCGGGCGCCGCTGCCCATCGGGTGACCGCATGTGACCGATCTTTGCTTGCCCCTCCTCCTGCCCACGACGACGATGAGCACGCGCGCGGACGACGACGACGACGCGCAGGACGGGCTGCGCACGGTGCTGCTGCTGCTGAACGTGCAGCACGGGCTCGTCGCCGACGCGCGCACGCGGATCCACGATGGGCCGGCCGTGCTCGAGAACATCCGGCGCGTGCTGGCGGCGGCGCGCGCAGCGGGAACGGGCGCGGGGGAGGAGGAGGAGCGCGGGATCGTGACAGGCGGCGGCGGCGGCGGGCCGCGGATCGTGCACGTGCGCAACGCGGGCGACGCCGGGGACCCGGACGAGCTCGGGACGCCGGGCTGGGAGCTCGTCCTGCACGATCGCGACGGGAGCGACGAGCTCGTGGTAGACAAGCGGAAGAACAACGCCTTTGCGGGGACGGAGCTGGGCCGCATCGTCGCGCCCGAGGCGGAGATCGTGGTTGTGGGCGTCATGTCGGAGTACTCGGTCAAGTCGAGTGCGTGGCCGTTTGCTCGTTTTCTTCTGCGTCGACTGACGCGTAAGATAGCTGTCAAGGCGGCGCTCGCGCGGGGGAACACCGTCATCCTGATGAAGGGCGCGCACGGGACGTACGACCACGTCGCGCTCGATAACGACGGCAACGTCACCCGCGCCGACACGATCGTCGCCGAGATCGAGGAAGAGCTCGACCGTGCGGGTGCAGTGGTCCTCGACATGGAGTTCCTCCCCAACTTATTCGAGGGCCGATAACACATCACCCCATCTAATTCATCGCAGGGCATGTTTGGGGGATATAATCATCTAATTTATTGCAGGGATGTTGGGGGTTATAGTTATTTCTTGGTGTAGCAGGGATTCTTGAAGAAACAATGCTTCATGTTCACCAAACTTGGGGTATGTTTTTATGTACTTGTATGTTACAGCATAAATAAGTAATTTTTCATGATGCCTTCCTGTGGAACCCAGGCTTGAAATTATCCAGTTGACCTTCCCAGCCACTGGCAGATGGTCCCTCCAAGCCCTGCTCCAAGCATCCCAATGCTTCCAATTTGCCATCGGAAGCAATGGATTTCACTCATGGGTATTGTCACTTCTAAACCCCAAATGACTGATATATTTTTCCATCATGGTGACATGCACACGGTGATTGATATCCACAACTTATCTGATCTACCCATGAATTATTATTCTCTAAGTTCTAACTCTGTTGTCTTCCTCCAAGTCTAAACTATCAACACTCAAGCCCTCGATGCTTCACCGTGTGCAAACTAAATGCATTTAAACACAGCTTAATTTAAAGTGGCCAAAAATATCATGTCCGAACTTAGGATCCAGGCTCTGATATGCTTCACCAGTTGTTGTCCGAATTTCCCTCCAACCTATCTCCAACTGGTGCCAGCTTTGTCCAAATTTAGTTGAGATTTTCAATAAATTTCATCCAAACTCTGTATTTGGCCTGTGATCGAATTATCAGGGTATGTAAAGAAAATGAACATTTTACCTGTAAAATTGGTAGGATAAGGTCAGATTTCCCAAAAAGGAAATTTTGACAGCTCGCTTAATTAACATGTAAATTAACAGGGTTCCTGGGCCTGTAAGAATTTTCTACATTGATATACCACCTGTGGAATAACTTCCAGTGCCCTATTCATAGCATATAGCAGTAGCAAGCCACCCCTGGCTATACCTAAGGTTGGTATCATAGTTGTGGTAGCTCATACGCTGGTGGCTGGACCATGTGACGATGGGGACCACCCGCCACAAGAGGCAAATGTTATCCATGTCATTCTATTTTTTTAGTGTGTATATTCCTTAATTTTTTCTTCCTTCCCCCTCACCAACTCCACACTCTCAACATCAGCATCAACATCTGATGATCCAATCATTGTCAGCTTATTGCCCATCTTATCTCCTCCTTTATACAACATCAGTATAGCCACAAGAGGCTAAAGAGTATGATCTCAAATAATAAACTACTGTAGCATTTCAATCAATTCGGCAGGCCATTTTGCTGTGACACATTTCGGGGAACCTGCGATTTCAGCCAAATTCGCTGTGACAGCCTTCCTTATATGGATGTTCGGTATGCGAAAATTTTGGAAAATTACCATATTTGGACAGTCTGGGATGAAGAAATTTCGCTGTGACCTGTGACCCACCGAAATATTTGGCCAAAAAAAGGCCCTGTGACCGTGACATGCCTAATTGATTGAAATACTACAGTATTGTGTGATGTTTTTATAAGCTAAAATATTCACCAGGCCACTCTGAGTTGGCAAGCTTCCCCTCTCATTGGAACACTTTCCCATAAATCATATTAGACTGTAATTCAGTTGTAATTCAGTTGTGTGCTATTTGTCCTTGTTTGCCCCCCCAATCTGGTGGCCTTGCTATATTGAATTCAGTTGGGAAACTCCATTTTTTTCTTCAATCAAAACCTCATACAGACCATATGTAATAATACTGTATGAATCATGATAAGATCATATCATATGACAATGTGAATTGTGTATGCTCATATCTGGGCTAGGGTCTGTCCTACATTTTACTTGCAGAGTTTAAATCCTAGCGTATATGCCACTGGATAAAACTTGAAAAGATGCATTTCAAATCGTTGTTCATTAACAATGCACAAAGTTGCAAAAAGATCAGACTCCAGTTTTCCACTAGTATGCGTGAATGTATAATGCATAAGTATTGTTGACAGTGTGAGCATCCAGCAGATTGAGTTAGCCGCCATCAAGATGGTGCCATTGATATAAATCCTAATCATTTGATTCCCGTCCTTTGCCTCCCACTGTCATCTCGCCATGCATACACCGACGATGTCCTTGTCAGGGGAACCTCCCTTTCGGCCCCTCGGAGACGATTCCGATTCCGGTCCGACTCCGGTTCCGACCCCGGCGATCGCATCACCGCCTCCGTCAGGCGCATCGCCGCCCCCGCCTGGCGATCCCCCTGGGACCTGGCCTGCGACATGGCGCAGGCATACTGCACGGAGCAACGATCAACCTTGGCGCGTCAAGAGCGCAGTATATAGTTCCGCTACCTAGCAGGCGGACCCTTAGAGTTTCTTCTCTTTGGATCCTCCCCTGCTAGGTCAGCCTCACTTGTATTTGCTTACTTCTATTCACTCTTTGGATCCTCCCCTGCTAGGACCTTGATCTCAGGCCTCCGGGGTTGCCCTTACAGCAGAAGAAACTCTCTACGGGATCAACCGGACAAGATTGCTAGGTTCGGCGCTGACTCAGGCTCGGAATACGAGTCCGTTCCGCCCTCGTCACCGCCCCTACCACTTGTCCCCTCCTCCTCTGTCACTCCTGTCACCCCCGCACCTGTCATGCCTTCCGGAGCTACTCCTGACGCTGACACTCGGCTGGATGCACTCGAGGCGAAAATCGACCGCCTAACTGAGGCCCTTACTCTTCTCACCACCCAGGCTTCTGCTGCCGCTGCCGCCGCTAATACTGCTGGCGGACCCCAAACAACACCACCCCCGGAGACGTCGATTCCGACTCCGACTCCGGTTCAGGGCGATTCCGAGGCCCTCTTTGGCGACATCAACCTCGCCTCAAAATTGGTCTTGCGACCAAACCCTCCGTTCACCTTCAACGGCGATCGGAAACGCGGCCGCGTTTCTCTATGCGGTCCGCACCTCGCCCGCCTTGCCCCTGAGGCCTTCGTGGTCAACGGAGAGGCGAGCGAGGAAAAGGCCGTCCGCTATGCCATGTCGTTTATGGCAGAAGGACCCGCTCAGCAATGGGCGGAGCGCCACGGAAGCAAAGCCCCGTTTCCGTTTCCGTCCTGGGGCTCGTTCGTTTCCGAGTTCCGACTCCGGTTCGTCGAGGAGAATGAGCAAGATCATGCTCTCTCCAAACTGGAGACTTCCGCCTATCACATGGGCACAAAGGATGTCTACCAGTACACTGACGACTTCGAGGACCTGATGGACCTCGCCGGATTCGAAGACGCGCTGGTCAAGGTGACCAAGTTCCGCCACGGACTTGACCCCTTGATCAACAACGGAATCACGTCCTCGAACAACCCCCCGGACCTCCGGGACTACCTTAGCTGGCGCACCCGGGCCTTCCGTCAATACGAGGCCCTGGTCCGGGCCAAGCTGATCAAGTCAGCCGCCCCCAAGACGCCTGGCGGTTTGATTCGGACTCCGTTTCCGGTCAACCGCATCCCGGCTCCGGCCCCTTTCCGCCCGGTGGCTCCGGCCCCTTTCCGCCCGGTGGCTCCGGTCGTGCCACCCGCGGCCCGCGCCCCCGCTCCGGTGCCTCCAGCTCCCGTCCCCATGGAGTTGGATCGCACTAGGGCTCGGGGTGCCCCTCGTCGCGCCTGCTTCAGGTGCGGCGACCCAAACCATCTCGCCCGGGATTGCCCCCTCCCCGCGGACGTCCGCTCAATGGACATCCTTGACGAGGTGATCCAACAACTCGGTGACGAGATGTTAGCGGAGTTGATCGCCCGCTACACGGACACAGCTGCCCTGCCGGAGACGGCAGCGGAGTCGATGGCCGAAGAGGATTTTGTCCCCCGCGACGAGTGACTGGTGTGCCCTCGTTCGCGTCCATAAATCGTTTCGCTTGTTTGTATGACGAATCAATTCCTTTGCCCTACAACGACCCTGAAACGAAAGACATACCCTCCCCCGCCCCCGTTTCGACTCCGTCTCCGACTCCGCCCGCGACTCCGGGCTCATCGTCCTTCGCCGCCTCACTGCCTGGGAAAAGAAATTGCCCAAGCAGTACACCGTCGCTGCCTCCCCTGGAGTGAACTCCCTCCACCTCCCGTTGGAGCTAGAGTCCACCACCAGTGCGTTGAAGCTCTCCCTTTCTGGGCTTGTTGACTGTGGTGCCACCTCCGACTTCATTGACACGAACTACGTCCGCTCGGAATGGCATTCCGGTCCGCACCCTGGCACAACCGATTCCGGTCTTCAACGTCGATGGCACTCCGAATGATGCTGGCTCCATCAACCAGATCGCGGACTTGGTCTTACGCTACAAAGGCCATTCCGAGCGTGTTCAACTTGCCGTCACCCATCTTGGTAAACAAGACCTCATCCTGGGGTACTCCTGGCTGCGGAAGCATAACCCAGAGATCGATTGGGAAACCAAGGAGGTCAAGATGACGCGGTGCCCTCGCGGCTGCTCCACTTGCCGCGAGGAGGAACGGTTGAACGGACTGAGCTGCGGCGACTCCGGCTGCTCCAGAAGCGACTCCGCTCCGGCCCGTTCCCCTCAGTCTGCGCCATGGACCTTTCTGGGTCTGATGACGGAGACGATTCCGTCTCCGGTGACGACTCCGGCCTGCCTGATCTGACGCCGGACTCCGACGATGACGATGACGATGGTCAGCTTGAAGATGGTGACCGCATCTTCTACACCTCGTTCCGCCCCTCGGAGGAGATACGCGCTGGAAGTACTGTCTCGCAACGCCTGGCCGAAGCCTTCGCCAGGAACTCCGCCCCTGCGCTGTCGAAGAAGAGAGTTGTCCCTAGGGGGACGGGAGAGGTGGCGAGGTTGGGCGAAACCGGGCTCGACGCGTCGAACACGAGTGTGGTGTCGAGGAGAAGAAAATAGGAGTAAAAGGCTGTCTTTTCGCGCGGGACTCGAGAAGGGGGGGGGAAGAAGATGCATGAGATGATGGCATACTACATTATATGTCCTATGGGTTGGCCGCTCGCGTTCTCATGCGACGCCAGAGCCCTCCATGATAGTAGGTAGAGTGACCATGTGTAA